AAGCCACGAGTGTCAAAGTCTCTCCGTTAAGGTTCTCTCATCGTTTTCGCGCATGCCAGCTTCCTTGTGGAGTGTGATGTTCACAGCTTAGACACTCTGAGAAGAGGTCTCTATCGATGGTTTTTCCCACTGTTCCTTCAGCGTGGGACTTGCAACCACAAATCAGAATGAAAGCCCACCATGGGACTGGCAACCACCGAAAGGGCCCTCAAAACTTCCCCAGAATTAGCTCCCCTTTTTTGTTTTTTTGCTTTCTTGGGGTCCCTTTGTTTTCCACTAACCAGGCAAAAAACAACACACATATTTTCGCTGGGGTCCGAATTCCAGCCTGGAAACAGGAGCTTGAAAAGGCGCTCCGTGGCCTTCGGTTGGCCAATCCCGCCCCGACTTTTCCGCGAGGTTCGCGGACCCCAGCTACGAGTGCAGCGACGCGACCGGCGCGTGCTGCGAGAGCTGCAAGAACGTCACGGCGGCCGCCCAGAAGGAGCCATGGACATGTTGGCCATGGACATTCTGCAGATAATTTATGGCTTTCGCTCACCGATTTGGGGGTAAAACGAGCGAAAGCCATGGCAAAGATTCTTTACTTGGGGAATTCAATTCTTATTTCAAGTGTTGGACATGTTGTAAAATGTGCAGATGGACATGTTGGCCAACAGCTTTGTAGGGGGATGATACTGTGGATGGTCAAATTCCGCTTCGCACAAGCTGGGATGGACGAAACAATGAAACCCCATACTGGGTAACCCACCTACCAACTGGTGCAGAATATTGCCCAACGGCAGGGACGGTCAGGGAGTTGGACTGCCCGTTGTAAGGGTTCCTACTCCGAGAACTGCGACGTCACAGGAGTTGGACTGCCCGTTGTAAGGGTTCCTACTACGACGTGACGTCACATAGCCCATGAGTGGAGCTTTGACCAGGCCACGTGTTTCTTGGAATCCAATACACTCCGTGTAATCTGACCAGGGGATCCTAAGAAAGTTGCTTCCCCTCAAAGCTTCAGCTTCGGCCGGGGAGCTCGTCTTTTCTTGGGCCTCGGACACCCCAAAATGGCGCAACGCACTTTTTCTCCCCGTTGTGTTTCCCTTTGAACCATTCCCAAAAAGGAAACCCCGAGCCTCAAGTTTCAAAGAGCAATGTTGCTTCCATTTGCTCAAGAATTCAGGAATCTATCACTATTGAGCTTGTTTGCTTCCAGGGGGCGTAAACAAATGGCCGTGGGTCAACACCAATGGGATCCCATTTTGGGCTAGGTGAATTCACCCATTTTAGGACCTATTTTAGTGGGGATTGGGATCTGGGGGTACGATTTGGGTTTTGACCCATAGCCAAATGGGTCCAACAAATTGAGGATCGGCTTTCAGCGAGCGTCCCGCCCTTCCGGCCTTGCGGACGCAGGTCTGCCGCGCCGCCCGCAGCAGCTGCGACCTCGCGGAGATCTGCGCTGGCGGCACCTCGCAGTGCCCCAAGGACGAGCGCCTCGGACATCGCAGTCGAAGGTTTTTGGCGGTCGGATCGGAGTTGAACCCATCCGAGGCTTGGCTCGGAGTTTGGAGTTGGTCTTGAACACAGCGTCCTTATAGAGTGGACATATTCTTGTTTTTTGTTTTTTGTTTTTTTTTTTTGCGGGGGGGGGGGGGGGGGGGGGGGGTGATTGATGTCGACATCACCGTCCAGGGTTGAAGAAGGAGTTTCCTTTTTGGTGACAGGGGAAATGTCTTGAAGGTTGCCTGTTTTGACAGGGAATGACATCAAGGGTCAAAGATCTGAAGTATTTCCTACGTATTGAAAGTGCTCAGCAGCTTACAATCACCCTGGTAAATTGCGGGAATGCCTTGTTCCCCTGCTTGCAATGTCTGGTACGTACTGTGGATGGACAAAATCCTGCACCACTTTGAAACCTGGTTGAAACCATGGTTTGTTGTTATTTACAGGGAATCATCATTCCAGGGTTTCTTGGGTGGTGCAGGATTTCGTCCCTCCACAGTATCACAGGCATGTGAACCGCATGGATCAAGATCAATATTTCTTGCACACCCGAGCCAATGCCGAACCGAGCCCCAAAGAACGAGTGCTATGGAGAGTACCTGATATCCAGCTGCGCGGATATTCGTCAAGTGCGTTTCGGAGCCTCACCACCAATCGGCTGATCGTTGAGGGTTGAAACATCTTCGCTGTCAAGGAGCACCATGCAAGTTGCACCATGCATGGTGCTCCGGGGTTGCAACTTGCATGGTGCTCCTTCTTCGCAGAAACGGTCATGGGAGTCTGACAATTCCACACTCGTGGGTGTGTCTTTCTAAGGATCCTTGTTTCGGGGATGGGTTCAAGAGGAACCGAAAGGACACCAACCCTTTCGAGAGGGTCCGAAAACCAGCCCACAGGTCCGTTTCCATCTGTGGCTGACACACTCCCTCGTTTGGAACAGCAGTTGATCTTCCAAATGCAAGTATAAGGCACCAGTAATCCCCGGTAAGTTACTATGTTTCGTTTACTTGCTTTACGCTCTGTTGAACCAGGCATGCAGAACCGGGTCAACATATCGGCATGTTTGTTGCATTGGGTCGACCACCAAAGCTCCAAGAGGAGGGTGAGACCTTTGTTTCTTACACCGGGCTCTTTGTTTCCTCCGGTCCAGGGTTCCCCATAGTTCCCCTTCCTCCTAAGTTGATGGACTCTCAACGTTTTGGGGTTGGACCATTTTGGTGGCAAACAGAGAGGCCAACCCACTCAGGAAGTGAGCTTTGGTTCCAAAAGCGGCAGCCTTCAAGAGTTTCAGCTTGGGCACTTTTTTCGGGTGCCGGCGGGTGCCGGCTCAGGTACGTCTACCCTGGGGCCAGCTGCAGCCTGGCGGAGGCCGGGCAGAGCTACGCGGGGCTGTGCTCCCTGGGCAGCTGCCACTCCATGGCGTACACCTGCGCGGTGGACGTGACCCGCGACTTCGCAGGCGCGGCATGGCGCGCTTCGCGCCGGCGCGAGACGCGTCTCGCGGCGGTTTTCTGAGAGCCTGCCTGAGGTGGGGGAATAGGACTGGAGCAGATTTTTGGGTTTGGACCAAATTCTAGAGGTAAGAAACCACCGCTTTTTGGGTTTGGACCATTTTAGAGATTTTAGAGGTTGCAAAACAGCAGTTTGAACCTTTTTTTGGGCCATCCACTCGGGAAGTGAGGCTGGTTGGCTGGGTTGGTCGGGCTGCTCGGTCGCTGGTTGTGGGCCGGTCGGCACAAAAAAAAGAGGGGCCGGCCGAAAAGGGGAGGAATCCGGTTGCTTCAAAGGGTTGCTCCGATTCTAAGAATGACCAAACCACCGTTGCATAGCAAGTTGGCAGAGTGTCCTTTTGCTTTCCTTCGGAGCAACCCCTAAAGGCAGGCCGATCGCCTCCGCCGAGTTAGGGTCATTTGTTGTTTTCAGCCCAACACCCAAAATGGGTGGTACCATGTTGTTGATGTTGATATTGTTGATATTCTTGTTATTGTTGACCGTGCCGCCTCCCTGCCGTTGTTGATGTTGATGGGCGGTGCCACACGGGTAGATCTTTTGTTAGTGTCATGTTGTTGCTTCTTGAGCTTGCCCCATGACCAGACATAAACATGGTTGTTGTTGGGACACATTTTATTTTTTTGCTTATTGTGGTTTAGTGGGAAATCCCCACTTAACTGCTAAACTTATTTTTTTTACTCCCCTTCCAACGTCCACCATGGCTCGCAGAAGCAAAACAGCCAAACACAGTTCAGTTCAGCGGTTTGCTCCCTGGAAGCGGTGTGATATTTTGTTGAGACCTAACGCTGTTGAACCTGTGACACCCTGCGCTTCAGCGCTGCGATCAAGAGTTGAGAACTCCGGGTGTGCATTTGTTTTTGAGGGGGACCCTTTCCATCTCCTTTGTGGTTTCGATTCTTTGGGATGCCCTCCATGGAGCTGAGCTCACCTCAGGCACCTGGGACCTCTCGCCGGCCTGCGCGGGCTTCAACGACGACTGCGCCACTGTGGTGTGCCCACTCGGCTGAGTTTTTGGTCAGTTTTTGTGAACAGATCCTTGGGGCAGGCAAGTGAAGAGGGGATGTTGGCTGTGGATGATGTGCTTGTCAGATTTTTCGTCAAGCTCATGTTTGGGACCGCTTAACTTTGCGTTTGGGGGCGTCAGTTTTCGTCAAGCTCCCAATAGGTGAACCCAAAAGATGTTGATCATTATGCCGATCGCTTGGGGATGTTGATATGTCTTGGATGCTCCAAAAGTAGAAGCGTTGATAGGGGGGAAGCCTTACGATGGTGGTTTTCCATTTGGTTTCCCTTTCACACCACGCCAATGACAATCATTTCTAAGAGGACACCCCCCATATTCCCAAAAGGTGAAGCCGAACAGAGATTCCTTCGCTCCGCCCGATGTCTTTTTTTTGTTTTCCGAGGCCACGACGCCACCTCGAGTTCGCCCGCGCAGTGCGGGCAGTACTTCTCCGTGCACGGGATCCACATGCCGGTGCCGGACGGCACGCCCTGCTGGCACCCCAGTGAGCCCTTGGGCCTCAGGAGCGTAGGGCCCCTATTGGTTTCCTTTGGCGTTCCCGTTAAAATGAGCTCGAAAGGGAGCACCCTTGTCAAACACAACCCGTGTATAGATATAGATGTATGCATGTTGGGGATAGTCTCGGTGCCAGCTGTCTTGTTGCCGACAGGTATTCAGAATATGGATATGCTCATTAGATATGTGTATGGGCAAGTTTACATGTGTGTGTGTGCTCCTTCCACCATTTTCTCGTTGGTTTGGAGGGCATACTTGAGAGACTGACCGTCAACGCTGTTCCACTTCCGACTGCGTGGCAAGAAATGCACCCAATCGCCAGGGAACTTATTGCAACTTACAGCCTCTTGGGCAGAACCTATTGCCCCTTAAAGCCCCTTGGGCATATCCACGAATCATCAGTTCTAGGGGTGTAGCAGCGAATCATTTTGCCTTCCTCTCGGGCTCCGATGCTCCGATGCTCCGATGTGGCCAGGAGCGGCATGTGCTTTCAGGGCCAATGCAGGCAGCCGGGGAGCCTGGCCGTGGTGGGGCTTTGTGGCAACGGCGGCATCGACTATGGCGAGGAGGGCGAGGGCTTGTTCGCTTTTTCTTGCCGCAGAGGCGTTGAAGTTCCTTCTGATTCACCAGAAGCTTCTTTCCTGGGACCTTCTTAAAGCGATCTGGGTGTATTTGTATGAGTAATTATATGATCCCCAAACTCACCATAAGGAACCCCCCTAGTAGGGTGGCATCAAAGGAATGGAGGCAAATGGAGAAGGGTTGAAGTACTGGGAATTGGGGTGAGCAACTGTGGGCTTCGGGTCGTTGCACTGAAGCTGAGCCTCCAAACTTGGATCTCTTCGTGTGGCGGGTGTCTGCTGGCCCCAGGGAAACCAACTAGCAGGAAGGGGAACCAGGGACGGGAGGATTCCGCCGTTTGCACCTTGACTACGTTTGATATGGGAAATGGCGCCAAGGGAATCCCCCCCCAAAGGGCCCTATCCCCGCTCCCTCCGTATCTCCGCTTGTTCGTTTGTGAAACCAAGAACGCTTTTCCACTTTTTGGTACCAGGGTCGCTGGGGAATGGGAGCTGTGTGCCGAAAAGGAGTGCGACTGCGGCGCATCTGGTGCTGGCGACCCCTGCTGCGACTGCGCCAGCTGCACGCTGAAGAGTAGCAGCGCCTGCGCCGGCACGGACCCTTGCTGCGACAGCAGCACCTGCTCACTCAAGGCGGAGGGCTGGTTGCCACCCCTCGGCTTTTTTGGTCGAATGGGCGCGTCCTTTTTGGTGATCCGCCCAAACTGGATGGGGCCAAGCTGCCATCAGTCTGTGTTGAATCATTTTCCAGCGCCAGTGGTGCCGGTGAGCCGTTTCTCCAATATGACACCAAAGCTTCTGGCAGCAGTTCTTCAGGTTTGTAACTGAGGACGTGGCCACTCCACAGGGCAACCATCAAACCAGCAAATTGGAGGTTCGATCGATGCACCTGCCAGAGGCGCTACAAGTGTGGGGATGGGTAAAACAACTGACCCCTAGGTCTTCTCTTGGGGACCCCACATCAGTTTTGATTCCAGGACTAACGAACTCCTCTTGCCTTTTTGCTGTGCTTGGCAATTCGTGTGCCGTTTTTTCTTCTGGGTTTCTCATTTTCACTGGTCACCCGCAAGAAGTTGTCACTTGTTGGGCGCATCTCCGGTGTCGCCCAGGCTGCGGGCACGGTTTGCCGCGCCGCAGTGTCCGGCTGCGATGTGGCTGAGAGCTGCAGCGGTACCATGACCAAACATAAATGGTCAGCGTCCCTCATTTTTTTGTTAAGGAACCCCAAAGTGGAGATTTTCCTTTTGGCTCCCCTTTGAAACCTCAGAGAAGAGGTGCCCTCAGAAAAAAGGAACCGCAAGATCTGACCTTGCTCCAAAAAGGCAATTCATGAAACCTGAAGGAACTCCTGAAAGGAGACCTAAGGGGGAAACCCAAGAGGGAAGCCATGCATTTCGGAGGTGCAAGCGGAGTCTCGAGGTACGTCGGCCTTGTGCCCCCCGGACGAGGGGAAGAAGTGGGGCACGGCGTGCACCGCGGCCGACGGGGCGGCCTCGACCTGCTACGGCAAGCAGTGCCTCGCGAGCCTGGATGAGCAGTGCGGCCCAGCCCAGTGGTCCAACTGTTGTGTTTCTTTTGGTTGCCGGCGTCGGTGTCCCTTCAGGATCAGGCCAAAACGCTGCCGTGTTGGTTCCCTTTCTCCCGGGAAGCCGTCAAAAAAGCTTGTTCAGCTTTCTCAAGGGCCCAACGTGTCGGGAGCGGGCCGGCCCTTCTGGCCGTGCGAGGCAAGGCTGCCACCGAAGGCGCCAGACCCATCGCCAAGAAGCACATGTCCACAGGCCTGGCACGGGACTACGCGGAGCACGTGTGCACAGGCCCCTGGTGCTGCGAGAGCTGTGAGCAGAGGAGTGGGCAGACTCGACAGAGAGCTGTTTTTGTTTTTTTGACGTTACATGTCGAAGGTGCCGGGGAAGGCCTGTGGGCCTTTTTGGCTTTTCGGTTTTAACTAACAGAGCCTCTTTGAGTTTTTTTTTTGGGGGGGGGAGGGGGGCATGTGCTAATTTACAAGGGAGTAAGCCTTTGGCGTCCCCTTGTGATCAGCAGACAGTTGTCACTTTTTGCAATGGCAGGGTGTCGGATACGTCTGGCCAAGAGGAGTGGGAGTTGGCAGATCAACGGCGTGCCCGTGGAGGACCCTCACATTTGTAGCGGACGCTCAGTTGCATTGGCGCTCTCAGTTTTGAACCTTTCAGTTTGATTGATCGCGCCTGCGGCGTTGAACTCCCTTGAACCCTTCACACATCCCAAGGCATTTGTGCCATGGTCAAAGGATCGGTTGCCTTACTTGGGTTGTATAACAGGGATGATCATCCACCTGGTAGTACGGATCCTGCATTTTTTTTGGTAAGGGTCATAAGCAAGGAGTTTTGACCATGGCTCATGTAAGCCTTTCGCTGTTTGATCCTTTCATGCTTCCACACTCAAGTTTGACCCTGCCTGTTTTGGAACTTGCTGGTTGCTGAAGATTAGCATGTTCCCAGTGACACGGCCCAAGCCCTTTTGTCTAAGACCCTACTTGCATACCCCACATGGACATATCCCGAAATCAGTGATTATACATGTTTCAACCGGCTATACAGGGGTTGAAAGCCATCCTTTCATGTGCCATGTGTTACGTTTTGCCTCTGGCTGGTTGGGACAGTCATTGACCCGTTGATTGGGGTTTGACCATGACAATTATTCTTCACCATCGCTGACACGCCGGCAGAATGTTGACTTCGGATTATTCCGGAGGACCCTACTAGGCAGAGCCATTTCCAAGAATAGATCATTTCCTTTCACTCAAAGGCACCAGCCCTGATTAGCTTGGTCCGGGTGCATCCGGAGTTCACATGAGCCACAATCAAAGCCCGGGTAGATGCAGGTTGGGGACCATCCTACCCGCAAGTGGGTGCCTTCTCTTAATTCTTGAAGGAAGCTGAGACCTAAGCAGTCACCATGGCAGGGCAATGGCAAGTTCCACCGACCTGGGACCCGAGCATCCTTAGCTGCTAGCTGAGCTTGCAGGCTGCACCCGGTCCACGACCTCCTCCACTTTTACGGTGAACGGGGTCAGCAAGACCATCTACCTGGGAGCGGCCCTGGATGGCACCTTGGGCGCAAAGGCTGCGCGCGCAAAGGGGCGCGCAAGGGGCGCGCAGAGGGCGCGCGGTGATCTTGATAAATTGGTCCTTTGAAAGGGCTTCGGCGGCGAGTTTGTTTTTTCTCTCCATGGCTTCAAACCTGAAAACCAGGCAAAAGTGTTGTTTGTCTTCTTCTTTTTTCTCGGAAAATCGGGAACCCCCCAAAAGGGCTGCGGTTTTTCGGATTTCCCCTTTCACGCGGAAACCAAAAACAAAAACAACAGGGGTGGGGTTCTCCAAGACAGTCCGTTTGGAATCCCTTCACTGGATTCCTCCCTGTTCTCAGTCCGTTCCTAGGCTTTGGGCTCCCACTTTCCCACCCCCGCACACTTTGGGTTAGTGAGATTTAGTTGTACAAAGGCTTGTTTTGATGCGTGTATTTTGAATTGTGCCACAAAACAGGGTGGGCAGGGGTGGATGGCAACACGTGGGAAGGCGACTTCCAACCAAAAGCTCTTTCTTTTTTGGCACTGGGTGCAAGTGGCTTGCTTGAGGCGCCCGGGCCACGCGCCGTGACCGAAAAGGTGACCCTTGCAACAGGGGGTGCGTCAGGTCTTGTTTTGGTTTTCCTTGTGCGCGAACCATAGCTGCCCCCAATTCGGCAGTGAATAGGCCGTTAGAAGTTCAGAAGATGTGATTAACTTTGCCCGGTGAGCCGCCAGTCAGATTTTGTCCCGCCAAATCGCCAGTTTCTTGGTCAGATTTTTTCCCGGAAAATCGCAGTTGATTTCCCACCCAACTGCCGGGCCCAAAAAACGGGGCACGGTTTTCATGGCTCGTCCGGTCGGAGGCACGTCTCTGGCCGACAGCTCCCAGCTGTGCATCGCGGCGGAGCTGAGTGCGCCGGCTGCGAGCTGCGGCGTGGGGCAGTTCCTGGAGGAAGGGCGGAGCTGCGAAATGGGGGCGAACTTTCCCAACCATGGGCCATTCCTTTGTTGCATGTTGCTTGGATGTGAGGACTTTAAACTTTTTGCCAGAGACTTGGTTGGGGTGGGGGGGGGAGCTCCCTTTTCGGAGGGGAACCCGCTTTTTGAAGGGAAACCAAAGGGTTAAAAGGACCTACCCGGGGAGTATGACGGACACTGGTCTAGTTTGGAAGCACCTTCTTCTCGGGCATTTCTTTTGCAGGGCGGGGGCACCTAGAGTCTGAATGACTGCTTACCAAGGCGGTCAATGTGCTTAGTGGAGATACTATGGAGACTCCAGGTGGTTCCCTGTTTTGAAGGGAAAGCACCTCTTCTGGGGTTCGTTTGCAGGGAAGCAAAGGGTTAAGTCAACCTGTTGGATGGTGCCTGTATAAGTATAATAATTAACAAGAGCATAACACACACCACCTAACCTAGCCCTATATATGTTCAAATCAAAACACTTGACCGATCCCTACTAATGAACATTTTGGAGTTAAATAGAGCAGCACTCATGATATGACGTTTGCCTTCTATGTAGCTAGTGCTACTAGTGTGCTTGGTTGGTTCACCAGTTTATCCAGGGGCTCCTTTTTTGGGAGACTGCAAATGGAATTCCAGTCAAAATGCCCCCTCCCAGGGATCTGATTTGAATTGGTTTGAACGCTTTAAGGAAACCAAAGGAAAGCCACAGCTCATTTTCGGGGATCCACATCTAATTTGAATGGGGCCGCTCACCCCCCATTTTTGGCGCCCCATGGCTTGATTCAGGCAAATGAGAAGGGGCTCAAGTTGGAGTCTGATAGCTTCAAACACAGGTTCACAATTCAATCCTTAGCCACTAAGATCCACAGCCTTGGCAGCCCATCTAAGTGGTTTCACCGCCCGGGGCGCTGGGCCACCCTCGCCCTGTCGCCTTGTTCCGGACGCGATTTGCGGAAGGGAGGGCTATGCTTGAGGGGAGAGCCAGAACTCACTGAACCGTAAGATGAACAAGAGGACAACCACCTGCATCACGCGAAAAGACATCGAGGGGGGGGGGGGGAATGGCATGCAGAGCCAGCAAAACAAGTGGGGTGACAAGAGGAACCAACACAACTTCCCAGCAGAGGTTGGCGTATAGACCAACCAACATCAAGCAAAACAAGCAACAAAAGAGGGGTGTAAAGAGGAACCAACAAATTCAGCTTCCCAGCACCCAACACAAGAAGGGTGTAAAGAGGAATACCTCCCATTGGCTGAAAACTGTCTCTGACCCCAAAAAGGCGGGACGAAGGCGAAGGCGAAGGCGAAAGCGCGTTCACCCGCCCGCGAAACGGAGGCCTCGGTGGGTCGTTGTTTGGCCTGCGACTCGTCCTGCGGCGGCTGCGTGGGGCCCACGGCTCTGGACTGCGACTGCTGCCGCTTTGGCGCCAAAGACGCCAGGGGCGCCTGCCGGGTGTCGGAGGCCTGGGGGGGGGGGGGCCTTTCGGGTTGGGCGTCTTTGAACCGGAGTTTGTTTTTTCTTTTCGTTTTTTCTGGGGGGGGGGGAATGGAACACATGCTTTGGAGGGGGGGAAATGCGAACACATGGAATTCTTGGTTGGGGATCGGGCTCTGCTTGAAAAGGGGGCATTGAGGGTTCACTTGGGGCCACATACAAAAGACAGCCATAGGGAGGAATGGTGTGGTTTGGCGGACGGGGCTCCATGGCCCGAATTCCGGGTCTGATGTTCGTTGTTGGTGCGGCTCTTCTTTACGAGGCTCGGAAAGCCAGTTGTGGTTTGATTTGGGGAACTCCAAAAGGCCATAGATGTTTGGGTGGGACATGTACCACGGGCGTCCTTGGGTCAGCTTGGTTTGAAAGTAGACGGGACTGGTTCGGTTTAAAATCTCGTCTTTCGGGAGTATCTTCTGTGTGTTCCAGAAGGACAGCTAGGAGCATGACTCCCCTTTACGCGTGACGCGGTTTTTTTTTAGGAGTGTGTGTGTGTGTGTGTGTCGTTTTTCGAGAACCTCTTTTTGGTAGTTGTACTGAGATTTTACTGGGAGATCAAAAGGAAACCAACGATTTGTTGGGTCCCCCACGTTTAGGCTGAGTGGTCGGCAACTAACCTAATATTTGACGCCTCTCCGCACAGATGACATGAGGATCAGCATGTCCATTCAAAGGAAGCCAAGAGGAAAACCATCAACGGAGGACGAGATCTAGATAGGGAAGTATGAACGGAAACATGAAGGGAATCAGAAAGTTTCGAATATGAGCAGGTCTCGACCGGCTCATGCCCATTACAGATTGAGCTTTTGTGTTTTGAAGGTGGCTCACTTGCGCGGGCTGGATTGTGGTAAGGTCTGTAGACACCTTTTCTGACCATCTTGGTGGAGTCACGTGTCAACGGGTTTTGAGCGATGCTTCAATGGGGAACCCCTAAGTTGCGCTTTGGTTCCCTTTTGGTTTCCCTTCGAGAGCACCACCAATAAAATGTCTCAACAACAGAAAGGCACACCCAGGCTTGGACAAGTTCAAACCGGTCTCCCTTGGCTGGGCTAGTCATGGTCCGGAGTTGATCTTTTGCCTTTTCGTTTCATTCACTTCTGTGCAGCCCATCTACTTTTCTGGCAGGAGGGGGGGGGTCCAAGGGTAAGGTCCGGCCGGGCGAGATTTTCAAAGACAGCTGCATTTGGGTGTGTGCCTTTTTGAGGGTACACCTTTTCAGGTTGAAAAGGGAAGCCAAGTTGCCTTTGGCACATACCCATTTAGGCCTTCAGGGTTTGGCTTTGCCCTTTCAGAACATGGTTTCGATGTGTTTCGCGGATGTCACTTGTTCTTCCCCTGTAGGTTCTTTTTTCGTACTCTGTTTGTACTGTTTTGATATTCTACAATCCTTCTTGTTTGGCAACCATTAAAAACCCAAGAGAAATAGTTATACAAACAGCTGTTTTCCGAAGAGAACCATGGTTGCAAGGAATGGACCAGGAATCAGCCTCGAGAACAGATCCGCCACCTAACCCGTCTAGCACGATTTCAGGGCGCGCCCAACAGCAGCTGCCCGGGCGCTTCGGGTTCCGGGACCTCCGCGATGAGTACTACCACTGCCACGGAGACCGGAATCATCGCGGGCGCCGTGCGCAGGGTGATCGGCATGGCGGCCCTTCCCCTGGTGTCTTGGATTTTCTGAAGAGCACCCCTGCAGATTGGCATGGAACCCAAAGCGTCATTTGGATGTGTAGACTCATTTGGGGATTTGGGACCCCAAATGTTGGGTTCCATGTTCTTTGTGCAGGGAAGTTATCTAGATAATGCATGTGTCCCAAAGGGAAATGCATATTTTCATCCCATATTTTCGATTTGACGAATTATCTAAATCCGAACTTGAATTTCCCGAAGAGGAAAATCACACATAAATACTATTAGTACTTGCGAGGGAGTCGTCCGAAAGCTTCTTGTATTAAGATATGTTGGCGACGAATATACATAGGAAACACCCGTCAACAATGATGATGATGATGATGATGATGATGATGATGATGATGATGATGATGATGATGATGATGATGATGATGATCATGATCATGATCATGATCATGATCATGATCATGATCATGATCATGATCATGATCATGATGCTGATTTTGCGAGGGATTCCTGATGATGACTGTCATCATCCGTATGATCATGACTATCATTGTAGCATCCCCTGCACCCCCAGCGGTGCCGAATGACACAGCGATGCCTGATTATGACGCGTATACCAAAGAGAATGACAAGCATATGACTAGTGATAGGATCAACCAAATTAATTCATTATGCGCATACAATGATTGACGAGATGTCATCGAGACTATCGTGCTCGCATCCCTTGATTTCTAAGCGGTGCCTAACGTCATAATGGTGCAGCTGAAATGTAGGTAGAGGAAAAAAGACAATGATGATTATGATGACTATGATGATGATGAGGATGAGGATGCGATGAAGAAATGGTTGTGTATAAATAATATAAGAATTGAATAAGGGAATATTGGATTTATGAAGCAATATTTATATTTATTATTGGGGGTTTAATTTGAATAATTCTTTTTTATTTTGTTGGTTAGGATTATGAAAATATATTGAATAATTACATTGAATATATTGAATATAATTAAACAAATATTATATATATAGTTAATATATAAATTGGAAATTATGTATATATATAAATGAATTATTATAATGATTGAATTTAATTTTATAGATTGATTATACAAATAATTTTTGATATTAAATATGTAATAATTATATTATTAATTTTGTATTTGAGAAAAATAAAACAAACCATATTTATTATAATTAATATATTATATATTTATTTATAATTTATAATATAGAATTGGGAAATACAATTATATGGATTTATTTTAATTTTAAATAAATATATATTATATAAATTAAATTAAATTTGTTGTATTGAATATTTCGATTTAAAGGATATAATTTCTTTATATTATGGAAATAAGAATTTTTTTTTAAAAAAAAAGGATTTTTAATGAATGATATAAAAAAACAATAACTATAGATTTTGATATTATATATAATTCTAAAATACTAAATATAGATATGGTTATATGATATTTTTTCGCATATTAAGTTATAACAAGAAACTTTAATAGTTTATATAACATATCGATTGCGCAAATTGTTATGAACATATTTATGCTCGGCATATTGATACATAGCCACGAATATTTCCTATTCAATCTTATCCAAGATGTGAAATTGGAAAGGAGAATTATATCAAAAACTAACCGGGGAGGGGAAAAATGATAAATTTAGATTGTTTTATTTGGATATTTTAGAAGCGTTAGAATTTCGTAATAGTAATGGAATCCTAATAGAAGCCTACTGCAATCTTGATGGAACCCTCGTGGAACCTTGCCTTAGGGCCGTCTCGGACTACCCTGGAGTAAATCCAAATCGAAGCCCAAAAGTGAAAAAAATCGAAGTATCCCGGATATTTCGGAAAATTGGTCCGGACTGCCCCTGGAAGATGTAACCGCTTCATATTTCCTACGAACCGCTTGCCCAAATCTGTCCGGGCTACCCCGACATATGTGCGGAAGACATAGTGGCTTCATTTTTTGTAGGGACCAATTTCTCGAAATATTCCAGATATTTCGGGAAAGCGGTCCGGGAATTTTCCCGAAATATTCCAAATATTTCGGGAAATGCTATCGTCGAAATATCCGGACTATTTCGGAAAAATGGTCTGGAGTGCGACTATCGAACTATCCGGGATATTTCGGAAAAATGGTCCGGGCTTTGAACGAAGTCGTTGTGTCTTCTAGATCAAGAGTCTAGGCATATATCTCCCCATCCGTAGCCGTTGAACGAAGCCGTTGTGTCTTCCAGATAAAGAGTCGGGGCATATATCTGCCAGTCCGTAGCAATTTTGGCTGAAATCTGGGCCCATCTTCCGAGAGTTTGGCGATGCGAGAAGCTGTGAGCCGTGGCCGATTGTTGCGACCAGTTGTGTTTTTCCCTATGCGTTGGGCGAAATCAGTTCGGCTTTGCTTGCACCCAGGATGTTTTCTGGTCGATCGCGTTTTCGCTTGCGCTTGCAACAACTGCGTGTGTGGATGGATCTTTTGAGGCCAACAGCCCGCGGATCCGTTCTCACCTTGCTCAGTCACTGACTCTTTGGCGTGACCTTATCGCGACCAGCCCGGGCCTCAGTGCGTCTCGCGACCTGTGTTTGGAGAACGGCAGCATGCTGTTCGCATGCGACGAGTATACTTTTTATGATACGTATGAGATGCTAGAATATGTTGGTGCCTGAGTTGCAAAAAAAGTCTTGCCGGCGCGGGCTCTGTAAGATCTGGACCTTGGCCCCTGAGAGCTTGGCCCTTTTTTGGCACCCGCCTCAACTTACCCCGAATTGCTGGTTTGGATTGGTGGTTTGGGGATTGAACCCCTGGATCATGTGCAAACACCGATCCAAACTTCCAATCCAAACCGGGCCGGTAGCAACCCGGGGCGCCCAGTCCTGCAACCACCTCCTGGCCGCGGGAGCGGCGGGGCAGCGCCAAGACAAGCGCGTGACAAACCGTTTCCTATTGGCTCGCTCCACTGGGCGAGGGTGCCAGGGGACAAGCGGCCAGCGGCCGCGTGCAACTGGGGCGCGCACAGCCGAGAGCTCGCACGCGCGTTCTTGCAGCCCGTCTGCGTCACGGCTCTCGGGCTCGGAGTCGGACGCGTGCCCGTGCGCAGGCGAAGCCTGTGGCATGTCGACATCAGAATCCGGCGCGCTGCGCGCCGGAGGTGTGTCTCTCTTTTTGTCTCTGTCTCTCTGTCGGTGTCTTTCTCTGTTTCTCTTTGTCTGTTGGTCTCTCTGTCTCTGGTATCTGTTTCTTTGTCTGTCTGTCTGTGTCTGTCTGTGTCTGTCTGTGTCTGTCTGTGTCTGTGTCTGTTTGTGTCTCTGTGTCTCTGTGTCTCTGTGTCTCTGTGTCTCTGTGTCTCTGTGTCTCTGTGTCTCTGTGTCTCTGTGTCTCTGTGTCTCTGTGTCTCTGTGTCTCTGTGTGTCTCTGTGTCTCTGTGTCTCTGTGTCTCTGTGTCTCTGTGTCTCTGTGTCTCTGTGTCTCTGTGTCTCTGTGTCTCTGTGTCTGTGTCTCTGTGTCTCTGTGTCTCTGTGTCTGTCTGTGTGTCTGTCTGTCTGTGTTTGTGTCTGTGTGTCTGTGTCTGTGTGTCTGTGTGTCTGTGTGTTTGTGTCTGTGTGTCTGTGTCTGTGTGTTTGTGTCTGTGTGTCTGTGTCTGTGTGTTTGTGTCTGTGTTTGTGTCTGCGTCTGTCTTTGTTTTTGTGTTTGTTTTTGTCTTTGTTTTTGTCTGTGTCTTTGTCTCTGTCTTTTTGTTTGTTTGTTTGTTTGTGTGTTTGTTTGTTTGGTGTTTTGTTTATTTGTTTATTTTGTTTGTTTATTTGTCTGAAATTGATATTGCGTAGGTTAAGCTTTATGAAATAATTGATATTATATAGATTAATTATTATGAATTTATAAAATTTCGGGAATTGTTTGTACGAAAGAATTAGGAAAAATTTTGATGGAACTTGGAGGATATTGTATTTATATAATATTTAAGAGTAAGGTTAAACATATTATGTTTTAAATTTGAATAATTTAGAGATAGCGGTTATTGATATGTGTTATTGGGATATGAATCTTTTGGTCGTTGTTTTGGTCCGATTTTCGGATATATTATATTGGCTTGTTTTGGCTGAAAGATTTACGAAGGAATAAGAAATATTTTTTAGAGAAATGGAATGATTTATTTTAAAATTGAAATCGAAATTTTATTTGGACATATTATTTAAATTTATTAATGTATTGAGAATTAAAAATCTATAAAATAAATATATATATATATAATAATATTAGTGGGGGCCCGCTACTTTCCAGCAACGTGCGAAATGAAACCTATAACAAGAGAACAACAAAATTAGAATATAAAATATAAAAATATTTCTAATTGATTAACAAAACACGGTTTCGGAATATTTCGCGAAAATAAATGACTATGATTTTGAACCTTTGCCTTGGACCCTGCCCGAGTAGGGCATTTCGACAAATTATATCTTATATTACACTAGAGGCCCCAATTCTAGAGGACTAAATAGCTAAAGACGAATTATAAACAAAACTTCTCAACAACACCTCAATATATTTCCTACGATACACAAAACAACAATGTTTCTCAGGTGCCCGATACCAGCGTGAAAATATTTAATTAATAAAAGGCGATCGTTTAAACAAGCGGAAAATGTACCCATAGCTTATTAACTTCAACAAGTAAAGTCATCCCCATATATAATTATTACAACGAATCTCTAAAACTACGCCGAAATCGGCCAATTTCACCGTCTTATTATTAACCTAATTCTTATCATTTAAATACCCATCTATAACATCCTTTTTAAAACTAAACCAAAAAAAAACCTCGAACATGGAATCCTAATAGAACCCCCTTGTGGGGGCCGCCCCGGACTACCCCGGAGCCTATCTAGACTAAGACCCTAAGGAATAATTAATATATTTTTTGGTAAAATATTATTTTAAAATTTTATATTGAACATATTTAATATAAAATACGTTTAGGTGATATTCCTAACAATATACATGATTATTGTTTATATTTGTATTATTCCATAATCTTCATAGAATTTAATGGAATTCTATTAAAATCCTTATAGAATCTTAAGATCTGACAATTTTTACTTATTTGGTGAGGGATGAGTATTAAGGGGTATATAGTTTGAAATATTGTGGAGGTATTATTTTTGTGAGTTTGACGGCCGGGTGCTAGGCGGCATGTATTTTGGGGGGCTGTTGGGGGTGTTATTTTGCGAATTTGGCGGCCGGGTG